GGAGGTGTTATGGGTGCTGATGGACCAGATTAAGTTACCTTTAGACAGAGCCAGGCTAGCTGTTTCCCTCTGTTTCCAGTCTTTGTGCTAAGCTAAGATAATCACCTGCACGCTGTTGCTTATCTCACATAGACATAAGTATAGTATGGATTTCCTCATTAAACCCACATGGAGAAATTTTACAAAATTATTCTTTCAGGTATGTCTCTTTTTTTTGTCTTCATGTCTTGGATTAGAAAGGAGTGTGGAGGCCTGATGCGTCCCGCCCTAAAAGACTGCAGTGGGAGTCATGGTTCTCCCATCAATGGCAAGCTGCAAGGAGTCTTCTTCAGCTGCAACACAGAGTTTGATACAGGCCTCCCTCCCAAAGACTCCCCGTACGGCCCCCTGCGTTTCCAGATCCCAGCTGGACACCTGCTGAACCCCAACATCAGCCTCTACTTTGCAGACTTCTACTGTATGTACACTGCCTACCACTACGTGGTGCTAGTGCTGGCCCCCGTTGGCTCAGAGGGAGACACCTTCTGCCGCACCCGTCTCCCCATGCTGGACTTGGCCTCCAACCCCTTCCTGACATACACCAACCCCCAGAGGCCGGGGGAGGAGCCTCTGTACTGCCACGCCAGTGACGTCATCCTCGAGGTGCTTTTCACAGAGCCGGTTCACTTGGATCAGGGCAGCGTGGAGCAGATCAGCGGGCACCACCAGCTGAAGAGTCTGACCACAGCCAACGCCAAGAAAGACCCGAGCTGCAAGGTGTGCAACATCAGTGTGGGACGCTGAGGGACAGACTGATGTATGGCAGACCTGGGACTGTGTGGCAGTGACAAAACAGTTGAGCCCATCACGTGTAGGTCAGAACACAGTGGAAACAGCCCACCTCTCAGGGTGTGTGCATGCTGCTGTCCCTCCCCCCCCCCCCCCNNACCTGGACTAGAATAGTGAATATTAAATAGAAGACTTTTACAATGTGTATCGCAGAAATTCATCATGATCACAGCTGGAAATATAGCGAACATCCATCCATGACTGCTGAACAAAACATAATTGAAGACATGATACGCTTTAGAAGGCTGGAGAAAATCCCTGCTCTATATTTGCTGAGTCATCTGTGTCTTGTGTCTTCTGTGGAGTTTCATCAATTTTAGATTTTTTTCCTTACGATGTGTTTAATTTCATTTTTTATTTGCTAGACTACTACGTTGATGTGATTTCTTTTAAAGATATTTGTGTTTGATACAACCTGAAAGTGCAACGCCAGAAGCATGTTCTCCCTTTTAAGAGTCTGGTTTTAAACATTACAGAGGTCGTAACAAATATTAGACTATTTCTAATTCTTGCAATGCTTTCTCTATAAAGTCACTGCCAGATGTTCTTTGTCTTTTAAAAAAAAGACTTATTGCCAAATGTTTAATATGAATGCTAAATTGTAGCTTTAACTAGTTTTCAGCATCCCTGCCAAATACTTTATTGCTTCTTAAAAATTGTACTTATGAGAATTCATTGTAATGCTTAATTACACAGTGTCTAAATGTTGCAAGACAGACTCTTACTGCAGAAAAACATGGTGCAATGTGACATGGAAAGCATGCTCATTCGTGTGTTGGGGTTTTAGGAGGTAATGGGGAAGATGGTATCACCAAGTTCCCTGCAATTTGTCTTTTGACAGCCAGCCCTGGCTCTATAAACAGGGCTGAGCTAAGATTAGCTTCTCTCTGGCTATGGGGCTGTCTGTCCCTGCCCAGTAATCTCTGACCTATATGGGAATCCCAGAAATGCCCAAAGTGAAAAGGATCCCCTCCCTGGTGCACAACAATAAGGCATGCACTGGTGAGGACATGACAGAGAGAGTGTGGACTGAAACACCTGTCTGATGCTGAATGTTAAAGATGACTGGGGAAAGGAAAAATAAATGGAACGAAACTAACCTGTTTTAAAAATGTTTTATAGAAAGAAATGTTAAAGATGAATGAAAATGCAATTCAGAGTGAAAACAATGCAAATAAAAAATATCCCCAAAAAATATCTTTACCAAAGGACTGCTGCATGTAGCCTGAGCCAAAATATAGGCTGAGTAAGTCATGCCCTTTCACTTAGATTCTTCCCGCGACAGAGGTGTGAGCTCACACACACAGCAATGCTGTAATTCTGCCCGTTGTTATTGTCCCAAAAAGGCTCACTGTGCCCACCTGGTAAATAACTTAAACAGAATTCTATCTTCCTTTTGGCATCTAGCACTTTAGGAATAGCAATGTCAAATTCAAAGATGTCTGTCTGAGGTCCCCCGAAGCGTTTCTGGAGGTAAGAACAGGGCACATCTCTGCAGCTCTGCCACGAGTCAAAGGTGACACGCACATGCACGTCCTTCTGGAAACTGATGTTCCTGACTCGGACGGTTCCTTGCAGGGCCTGCTCATTAACACTGCAGTTCTCCAGGATAACCATGCTCTTTGCCAGCTTGGCACGGAAGGCCTGGAAATCTGCAGAGGGCTGCGGGAAGCCCAGTTTGAGCCGTGTTCCTGGGCAGCAGGTGCTGACGGTGCAGCTGTAACCATCCTCTGTCATGGTTCCCAAACCCTGCAGGGATGGCAGAGGGTCGAGGTCAGGCTGCTCTTCTTCATCAGAAAACTCTCGCACGGCTGTCAGAGACAATCCCTGCGAGTCAGCGAAAACCACACGTTTGTTTTTGATTGGGATTGGGAATAAAGCGTCGTCGTCGTCATCTTCCAGTTCATCCAATAAAAATGGGAGAGGGTGGGTCAGCCAGGCTTGGCTCAGGATGTCAGAGGGCAGCTGATCTGAAACTGGAGGACGGATGCAAGGGCGCTGGGGCTTCAGGATGGGAACCCAAACATGGGGACACAGTTGTTTACGTTGGTTCAAGCACAGCATGACAGTGATCTCTGCAAGACCAGCTGACTGGGCCGTTGACCTGAGGCCAACAACTGGCAGGACCCTTGAAAGAGATAAACGGGGGTTTCAGTAAAAGACTGCTGCCCTAGAGGTGTGATTAAAGTTATGTATATTGTGTAACTGGGCTGTCATTGGGTTGTTGTGAGGTGCATTATTAAGCATGATACCAAAGTTGTGATAATAATTACAACTCAAAATTGAAGGAGTGATGGAAGATAATGCACCCCACAGCAGCGGGACCCCCCCCACACTTAGTTTGCATCAAGTTCTTACGTTGTGCTGGACATCTCCATCTCTGGCGTTGAGTGACGGGAATATTATCCTCAATGTTTGGCTGGAGTTCTAGAAAATAGAAAAAAAAACAGATTACGTGACAGTAATAGATGGTATTTTGATGATTTGATTCCAAAATTATTGTTGTTAGACATTAAAAAACTGTCTTTGTGTGAAATTCTGCAATTGTAATCTCACATAAAATGTATTTTTTTTATATCTTACTTTCAAACTCCTACGTGCAGCGAGTTGTCACCTGTAGTTCCAGTCATCGCTTTGCCCCGCAGGACAATGTGGCACGCGGTCCTATTTATACTGCCTCAGTTAAAATGTCATGTAGTGAACTCCTCCCTCTCTGCTCTCCTGACCAATCAGCTAAGTGTTGTGGTTTTGTGGTTCTTGTATTGTATTAATTTAGACCTGATTGTAATGATTTCAGATCATGCACAGCAACAATCCTTATATTTAAACATATCTGCTACTTCTGCCTCTGCCTAATTCGATATTTGACTGTCAAGACAGAAACATGTTATTACACCAGTACGTTAGCTGTGAAGATTTATTAGAGAAATCTCTGTATGGTCACCTCAGAGCTGTGTTGTAGAGTGCTGATGTGGTGATTGAGTACATGCAGGTTTACTGTATGTAATTCTACTCTGCATTGTGGAAACTATTCCAGTCATCCCGGGCTCTATTCTCAGACCTATCAATGGACACGTATACGACTGAGGCCCGGATCCAGGTCCCCTGCTTATCTGGCTGCTGTCCTGAACAGGGATCACTGCCCCGCAGCCCTGATGGGCCCTGTGTGTGACGCAGAGGAGGGGCCGGATTACAAACGACTCCCAGCATGCCGAGGAAGCTATTCAAGAATCAGTCCAAGTACGTGTATACATATTGAGTTACATGAAACGTTTACCAGACATCGCCTTCCCACTTACTAAGATTAATTTGAACACCAAACTTAAGGACATTTTGATGGCTGAAGAACTGGTTTACAAGAGTTTATACTGGTCAAGATTAGATCATTACTCACACTGCAAGAACTCAAAGCTGACTGAAGTAACTGCAGCATTTAAAAAACAATAAAATAAAATGCTTTCATAACCAATCATTTACAAAAGTTTTTATTCTTCTCAAATCAACATTTTCAAGAAAACTGATTTTATTTTCCAACATATTAATATGAACAACAGCATTCATGCACCCTAAAAGCTTCTCTGTGTATCATCAGCTGTCTTACCTAACTTGTTTTCCTGGTTAGATCATCTCTCTTCATAAAAAGTGAATTATTCCTTATCTCCCAAAAACACTGGGTAATGGGATTCCACATTGGCTAGATCAGCAGTGCAGCTCAAAAGACCCAAAGACATCAGTTAGCTGACACATAGTTCAGTTTTGTGAAGCCCACTCTCCCTTAGTCCCCTATTAGTTCCAATTACTGAGCAATTTGTGTGAGGGCAAACAATGAACACTGATTGCTCCCTCTGAACGCTTACATAACAATGCCATTATAACAATTATGTCCCGGAGAAAGACTGTTCCACGCATCCTTTTAGGGTATGACTAAAAACACAACCACCCACAAGAAACTTTAAACCTTGAAGCAGTGTTGAAATGCAATTCTGCATTTGGTAGCCAAGGTGAAGAGATGGACATTAAAAGGGTTTCCATTATTTATAATAACAGAAATGCATATTAACGTAAGTGTGAATGTCTCTAAAATATGGTGATCAAAAGAAACAACGTCCTTTTAAACACGCACACACATGAAGAGGCGCACTTTGGGATGGTGAGCACTACAATGCCAAGTGAACTGATGAAATTTCACCTTCGGGTCATTTGATGCATCTTGTTATTGAGCAGCAGAGGGAAAAGTCTAATAACATGAGTCATGTAGATAAAGTAACAGAAGGAATGATGAATTAGCAGATTAAACAGGACAGTAACACACCACAATGATTATGATTATGTAACCAAACGTATGTTGTGACATGATTTCAATAGGTCCAAAAATAACTGCTTTGGTGCACCAGGGTTCGTTCGCCAGCGAGCGCAGTGCTGGCTTGAAGACATGGCGCCAAGAATGTGTGTTTGCACCCCACAAATTAGTGCATAATCTTGACACCAGTGAGAAAGATGGGCACAATCTCTGCATGGTAATCTTCCTCATTACTGGAATGTTACAAAGAATAAAGTACTGCTCATTTTCTGACCTCCTGGAGCCAAAAACACCCTCACCAACAGAAAGACCTGTAACAGAAAAAATAATATGTGTTAGCTGCAGTTGAGAGAAATCACAGGTCTGCTTTGTTTCAAAACATATTGTGCTTCCTATAAGAGATACTTTTCTCCCATAATCTGTTACTAAGAGACAATGAACAACGTAAAAAAAGTGAGCTAAAAATAAATCCAGATGTCACTGCAAAGCAGTTGCTTATGTAAGATCTGCAGAAATGAATTAGCAGATGTCTGTTTAAGAGTGTGTGAGGGCAGTATTGAGTTAATGAGAAAGATGACACAGTGGAACTCATTATTGCTCACCTCGACATTCATATTAACTGCACAGCTCCACTTGAAACAAATGGTGCTATAGTTCGATATCGCATCAGGTGCTGAGAGCCTTCCTCAAGATCCACAACATACTCTCTGATAGAAGAGACAAGAGTGGAGACATCAGTTGTTTTAGTATCGACGCAGAATATATAACATTACTGAATGAGGAAAGGTAACACTGCCACCTAGTGGGCTTTGAAAACAATAACTCAAGTGAAATTTGGATGAGTTGTACCTCTGATCGTCTGCTTCAGGCTCAACCAAGATGTTTTCCTGTGTCTCCTTGACTCGCAAAAACACAAAGGAGTCCAGGCAGGGCTCAGGCACTGGGATTACAACAGAACACATGGGATTTAGTGTGATGGTCAGTGGAAATGTCAGAGCAAATGCCACCATCTGCCAGCGCATGCTAATAGCAGTATTTTGGGCGTGGGTCAACCAAGCCTGACTGAATGTAAAGAGGTAAAAATAAAAAGAAGATTTTACCTGCTTTGAGCAGATCTACTGTCTGCAGGTTGGGGGGCATGCGCTTCAGTGCTACAGCCTTCAGGTAGGTCTCCGTGTTGGCATAGTACCTATGTGCCAAATGAACGTGTCACAGAAAAACAGCAAAAGTAGTTTAAAACAAACAACTCTGGCCTTATTCTACTATACTCACTCTTTGGCAAAGGCGAACTCCTCGGGTGAAAGCAGCGACGGATCTCCCTCCCCTCGAGACTTTTCTCTCTCCAGGACGTGCGGGAAAAACTTTTCAATCTAGACATAAAGAGATCAGGTCATTATGTCAACAAGGGAGACGAGAGCTTTTATTTTGCAGCCGTATTCTTGACCTGGCTGACCTTCTGCAGACGAGAGCGCAGGTAGCTGCTGAGCACAAAGCGGATCCTGTCTATTTCCATGCGATGGATGCTGGCCTTCGTGTCACCTTTCTTCACCCGCTGCAGGTTGGCTTCCTGTCGGAGGAAAGGTCAGGACACCGTCAGGAATGAATATTTTGTCATTCAGGGTAACTTACAATGAGAGAAAAGCAACAGATTTATTATTAGAATCCATTTATTGTACAACGATTAAATTAACTGATTAATCGAATAAGTGTGCAAGTACACAGATCCACATCTGCATCCACAGCTGGATCTGGTATTGAGACAGCAGTAATGTAAAAAGTCACACTCATATACAACAGCTTCAAATATTTGACCAACTAGTACAGAAATATTTTTTTTTTTTTTTTTAGATTTTTATTTTTTACAGTGTTCTTACACTTGCCAGAATACACATTTATTTATACATAAAATTCATGAATAATTTATGTTTATTTAAAGTATGAGGGCCACTGTTGGAAAAACCCTGGAGATTTAGAAATTAAGTCATAATACTACAAGAAAAATATCATATTTGGAGAATAAAGTTGTAACATTTCAAGAATAAAGTTCCACTTTTTCTGTTGAAAAGCTCAGGGAGGAGGTGGTGTGCTGTACTTCATCAGACGGGGGGGAAGTAAACTCTGTGAGGACAGTAAGCCACACAGTGGTGAGATTTACATCTGATGAGAAATGTTCTCAAACTGTTAGTTTCAGTTTTCCACATCCGATAAAGAATAGTGCTTCTGTGTCTGTCTGTCTGTCTGTCAGATGGTCGTGTCAATGTGTCTAATCTAAATAGGACACTACCACATCAGCAGAGTGCAGAGCAATAACGTAATGCACAGCAGATTAAACAGGACAAACTGCTTGCTTTTCACATCGTTTACATAAAGCCCGCTGAGCTTTAATCACAGACTGAGGTCCTTTGGTGTGTGCAGGACTCTGCTGGGGAGCTGAAAGCACAGAGAGGGACAGGAAGAGACTGAACAAACTGGTTAGGAGGGCTCGTTCTGCCTTGAATTGTCCTCTAGACTCCATAGAGGAGGTGGGTGAGAAAACACCCTCTCACCCTCTGCATGAAACTGTCCCTGAGCAGCTCCTTCAGCAACAGACTGCTGCACCCACAGTGCAAGAAGGAGTGTTACCGCAGGTCCTTCACCCCAGCAGCTGTCAGACGTTTGGACTGCATATTCACGGCCCTGTGTAGCCTATATTCTTCTGCTATATTAATGCTGTTTATATGTATATATTTATTTTGTGCGGTGCAATTATTTATTTCTACATGCCACTACCTTCTGCTGTAACCTGTGCAATATTCTATTTTAACTTAAATTACATGTGTATAAAAATACTGTATAAAGTGTACATACAACCCTAATTCTATTTTTTTCTTGTTATTTAATGTGTTTTCTTCTGCTATGTCCTATCTGTAGCTGCTGTAACAAGTGAATTTCCCCAGTGTGCGATCAATAAAGTCTATCTTGTGTGATTTTGACTCCATGACTGAGCTCTGGTCTCTGCTAGACCTGGTGATTGACTCATACGTCATTTAACTGGTTTCGTTTTCTTTAAAAATAAGACACAGCACTTACTGGGGAAACCTTTAACTTCAGGTCATCCCTCATTTGACACCTAAGCAGAGCTCATCCGTTTACTACGCAGAGTAATGAAATCTCGAAAGTTGATGGCCTTTTCCTCATAATGCGATGACTTTATTCTCGTAATATTACATATTTTTCTCAAAATATTCAGGCTTTCTTCTTGACAATCTCAGATTTCCCGCTCCTCTGTCACCTACCACAGTGATATGCTGCTTACACGTTAATGCAACCGCAATAATCTAACAATAAAATATATATAACAGCACAACAGTGACTAAAGACGCTTTACTTTTGATTTTTTTAACAATACTTTTATGTGTAAACTTGAGTAGCATTTTCAAAGCAGGACTTTTACTTGTAAAGACATTTTTGCAGTATGTTATTATTACTTTACTGCAGTAAAAGACCTGATTATTAATACTTTTACTGTAGTAAAGCACCTGATTATTAATACTTTTAGTGCAGTAAAAGACCTGATTATTAATACTTTTACTGTAGTAAAGAACCTGAATATCATTACTTTTAAGCACCTATTATTACTTTACTGCAGTAAAGCACCTGCACACTATTACTTTTACTGCAGTAAAGCACCTGAATATTAATACTTTTACAGCAGTAAAGCACCTGAATACTTGAATATTAATACTTTTACTGCAGTAAAACACCTGAATATTATTACTTTTACTGCAGTAAAGCACCTGAATATTAATACTTTTACTGCAGTAAAGCACCTGAATACTTGAATATTAATACTTTTACTGCAGTAAAACACCTGAATATTAATACTTTTACTGCAGTAAAGCACCTGAATACTTGAATATTAATACTTTTACTGCAGTAAAGCACCTGAATACTTCCTCCACCACTGCAGTTTAAGTCAATCATGAAAACAGATGTTGAGCTACAACCCTGCACCATACTGTGCCTCCTGTCTGGTGACATTTAGAAAATGTAGGCAGAACTATGCGTGTTTGTGAACCTAGCCTACAACCCACACAGGTATAGGAAGAGAGGTATTCCCCCGTTTAATGTACCATGTGAGTCAGCTGCTCCATCACACACTCCACCACCTCGGATTTGTTCTCCAGCAGCTCCGGTGAGAACTTCTCATTCAGCCAAGCCTGCGGGCGACAGAGAGGGAGGTCAATGAGAGGCGTTACAGGTTGTCTGTATGAAAGTGTCGTGGCACTTCATGTCACTGTCAGCTCACCTCTTCCAGTTTGGCGATCAGCTCCGCCGGGGTCATAACATCCTCCTGGCTGTCATCTTGGTGGACGTCGCTGCCATCATCAGACAAAGCGTCCGACATACTTTTTTTAACCGTCACGGAGTAAAGCGATAAAAAACTGAGCTTAACAGACACTTTAACTCTATGTTTGACTTTTAAATTAAAATGTATAGCGATACAAACGGAGTAACTACTTGAATTTCACTAAAGAGACAGGAGTTAGTTTACACGGCGGCGTGTTTACTGCAGAATCGCCTCGTTTATTCGCGCCACTGGAGCTCTTCTCGCGAGATTTTGGTTTCGATTTCTAACCCTACGTTTGACTTGTAAGGCAAGGTTCCTCGTAGGTTGTTGTGTGTACCGCCGATTAACGCGATATACAATCAAATGCTTGACTTTATAAAGATTAAGGCATGGAGTTTTTAGCATGGTTAGTGTAAATATCTGCCTCGTCTACTGTAGGAGGTGGGTTTTTAACACTGACCTGGAAGCAGTGCTTCCTGTGAGTGTGAACTCAGGGTATTTTTTAAGATATGTAATGTTATGAATACAGCCAACATACTGTGTGTTAGAGCTGCTCGATAATATATATATATATATATAT